TCTATCACATCAAATAAGTGCAAAACATTAATAAATACGGTGAATAATATTAGGTTGGGGAAAAATAAATCCATTATTTTTATACGATTTAACATGTTTCGGAATGTCCGATTTAAGCCAAATATGCACCGTTTTATTGTATGATTTGTTGTCATCTTAAAAATAATGCCTCTCTCATAGAAGTTCTTCTCTCTATTTCCAAAAAACTCTGGTAGTCGATTTTCACAATCCTCCCTGGATACAATTTTTTTCATTTCTTGCAATGCAATTCCGGTTTCGTGCCAAGTCCGGATACATTAAAATTTCCCAACCAAGCTATCGAAGTCTCTGGCGAGTCACTGTAGATGTGTGTGGCCTAGCGTTGCCCTGGTGGAACACGGAACCTCTTCTGTTAGCCAACTCTGGTCAATTGTAAATGGTTTAAACCAGTTTTATGGTAGATTTTTAGCTCCTGGGCGATGTTACGATTGCTAACATGCCGGTCAACTTCGATCATTTCTCCAATTTTATCGACATTTTCGACGACCGACCGGCACAGGTTGTGCCTGGTGCATCTTTAAAATTAAAAATTCCTGAACGGAATCTACGAAACCAAAATTGCACATAATTGGCTGTTATAGTATCGGACATATGTTGGGCTATGTATGTACATCTAGAAGACGCAACTACACTATTCTATCCTCAATATTGTTGCCAAATTTCATCCAATTCGGATTATAAATGCGACCTGTACTTTGTTTACAATTTAACATGGACAGACAGACAGACAGACAGACAGACGGACATGCATAAATCGACTTAGAAAGTGATTCTATGAATATTCTCAAAAGGAACCATGTATCTATATCGTTTCCTTTTTTCTGTTACAAACATATCGACGCCTCCGAAACATAGTATGCTAAGTCGGCTTAGCATGTTTTAAAGTTTTTTACGTTTTTAGATACTACGCTCCTTACTTTAAATTCTCTGAAATTTTTGTAATCATCGGCCAATCCAAACCAAAGTTATAAGCAAAAATGTACTTAGCATGGTACGTAAGATATAAGAAACTTCCATACTTTGAGAGCTTCTACTGAAAAACTTACTTTTCAGACTTAGCATACTATTCTTCGGAGGCGTCAATATGCACAAAGACATAAAACCCTGTACCACAGAGTGGTGAAGGGTATAAAAATCATTAATTAATGAAAATGTGATTTCATTCAAAGCTAAATTTATCATTCAATGCTAACCTTTAATGGTCAAAAATAAAAACAATTATTTTTAAGTATATCAATACTTTTTATTTTTATTATAAATAAAGAACATTCAAAAAAGCGATTTTGCCTATTTTTCAAAAGAACACAATTATGTTTGTTTTTTTTTTTTTTTTTTTTGAGTTAGAGAAGAAACTTTAAACTGATATTTTTAAATGGAACATTTTAATGTGCTATACCAATCATCAGTTATTAGGGTGTTATACAGCTGAGTTGAAGTTAACATTGTTATTGGTATGATACAGTTTTATCGACAATTACCACCACCCAATGTATATTGTGTGTTCGCACCACACAATTGCAATGTGTTGCCAACTATTTGTAACACTACATATGTAAACACGGCCATAGTATTACTTAGCCGTTCCCACATAAATAAACTATTACAATTTATAAGTCGTGTTTACACAGGCGACTATAGAAACAATGATTGAGCCGAGAAATACACACTTAAAACACTTTTAAAGAAACTGCACTACCACGGTTTGTGTATTTGCTAACCAATGCATATTATAACATGTTTACATGGATAGCAGAATAGCATTAGTAAATTTCATCGGCTCATATTTAGATATAGCTCCACATATTTTCGGGCGATTTTATGTATATGGTGTGAAGAAATTTAATTTTTGAATTGTAGACTTTTTTAACACCCAATATGAATTCAAAGTTCCAAATCACTAACGAAAATGCGATAGAAAAAAAATTCTGATGGTGTGTGTGTGGCCTTGAGACGTCAACTTTCGCCACTAGAAAATGTAGCCTTAAAAGTCAAACTTTGGGTCGCATATTAAAACAAAATAGATTCTTTAGAGCATTTCAAACAAACTGGTAACAATGCCTCGTAGGCTATGCCTATGTTTGGCATTGCAAATGGGATATATCGATCAACGTTTTGGTATAGCCCCCATATAACAGTTCCCCGCAATATTCGGTATTTTGGGGATTTTGGTAATTTGGTATTTTTGGGTTCTCATTGAATAACCTTACCAAAAATTATTAATGTTGATCCAATATTCAGGGTATAACCATATACAGTACTCAATGTTTTAGGAATTTTTGACACGTTTTCCACGGATTATAATTTGGTGCTTTGGGTTCTCATTGAATAACACATATCCGTACTCACAATATTAGTCCGACTGCGACAAAATTTTGCACAGTGTACTGAATTTGGTTCAGCTTAATGTCTGTGACGTTTTGTGGAAATCGTTTCTTTAGACATAGCTCCCATATAAAGTTTCGTCCGATATGATGTAAATGGTGCACCAACTCCTGATGTTTTTCAGATATTTATCTAAATAATCAACGGGGGTTCAAGTGATATTTATTTTAAATTGAAATTTTGTCCCATTTTAAGAAGCAACTCTATATCTGTACAAATGAACAATTTAGTATAGGTTGCAGAATGACATGTTTATATATCTATATCTAACTCTGAACCCACTATCATAAAACTTAGAGCTATGCAAAATTTTGTGAAAATCGAAAGAAATATAAAGGGATATTCTGTACCGTTTACATAAAATCAAACGAATATATATCTAAGCTATATCCATACTACATACATCAATCTGCACTTAATTCAATGCACTGTGCATTTTGTCACAATCGGACAAACTTTGAGAATTTGGTGCACCATTGACATCAAATCAGACGAAACCAGTAAGGAAAGTAGTAAAGTCGGACGGGGCCGACTATATGATACCCTTCACAACATTGGATATATTCAATAGATAAATTCTAACAGACGTTTAATTTTTAAAGGACGAGTAAAATGAAATTGGATCCGTAAACATGTCATTCTGCAACCTATACTAAATTGTTCATCGGAAAATATATATAAAAGCTATATCGAAATCTAAACCGATTTCATCGAAACTTGTCGCAGGTTAGGTTATACTAATTTCAGTATGTTTTGTGCATATCAGCCACATTTCGAGTTCTTGGTGCCTCATTTACTTAATATCGGTAGAAAATATATATGGCAGCTCTATCCAAATTTGATCCGATTTCAACAAAACTTTCCCCATGCTACTTAACAGACATCATTCTAGACTTTATTCAGTACGCTATGCCAAAATTTCGTGCAAATCGAAAGATATATAGGGACTTTGGTACACCATTAACCTTAAATCGGACGAAAATATATATGGGAGCTATATCCAAATCTGAACCGATTTTCACGAAACTTGACACTCATCATTCTAGACCTAATTCATCACGCTGTGCCAAATTTCGTGCAAATCGAAAGATATATAGGGACTTTGGTACACCATTAACCTTAAATCGGACGAAAATATATACGGGAGCTATATCCAAATCTGAACCAATTTTCAGGAAATTTAACACACATCATTCTAGACCTAATTCATTACGCTGTGTCAAATTTCGTGCAAATCGAAAGATATATAGGGACTTTGGTACACCATTAACCTTAAATCGGACGAAAATATATACGGGAGCTATATCCAAATCTGAACCGATTTTCAGGAAACATGACACACATCATTCTAGACCTATATATATAGGGACCGTTTACATTAAATCGGACGAAAATATATATGGGAACTATATCTAACTCTAAACCGATTTTTCCCTATTTCAATAGGGTTCGTCCTTGGGCCAAATAAGTGACCTATGCCAAATTTCATCCCATTCGGATTACAAATGCGACCTGTACTTTGTTTACAATTTAACATGGACAGGCAGACGGGCGGACATGCATAAATCGTCTTAGAAAGTGATTCTATGCATATTCTCAAAACGAACCATGTGTCTATCTCGTTTTCTTTTGCCTGTTACAAACATATGCACAAAGAAATAATACCCTGTACCACAGAGTGGTGAAGGGTATAAAAATATATATATATATATATATATATATATATGTAGAGAGTTATATTTAAATGTGCGAAATCTCATCCCATTCGGATCATAAATATGATCTGCACATGCTTCGACTCAGAAAATGATTCTATGCATATTCTCAAAAGGAATCATGGATCTATCTCAATTCCTGTTGCCCATTTACAAACATATGCACAACGACATATTACCCAGTACCACAGTGTGGTGAAGGGTATAAACATATATCTTAGCTTTCCAATTGAAAGCTTCAGCTTCCAATGAAGCATTTAAAGCTTTAAAGCACTGTCAGCTATAAAATCTCATTCAGCTCAAAGCTTATTTTTGTGGATGCTAAAATGAAATAAAACTTGAACTTACATTCAATTATTCATTTTACATTTATTTCGAAAATATGAGTCTTATGTTAACATGTTTAAGATTGTGATGTTCTTAACATAGCTCTGTTAGATACTTGTTTAACATTTATTTATTTTTCGTTTCATTACTTATACAATAGAATTTAAATTAAAGAAAATGTACGGATTTTGTTTTATTTCTTTTTTGTTGTCCTCATATTGACATCATAAATACTTATTTCACTAAATAGACATAGACATACTTAGATGATAGAAAATAAATTAATAAAAAATACCATAAATAATTGGACATTTCTTAATAATAAAGAATGTTGGGAGGTGTTTTTTTTAATAAATATTTTCGAAATGAGTTTAATAAATATTTATATAAATAAATAAATAATTAATTAAATAAATACAGTTGTAAAATATTTAACCAGTCCTAGAATTCAATAGCTTAGTTGGTAAAGTGTAGACGTATAGAGGGGAAAGTAGGGAAAAGGGGAGGAGTAATTCGTTAAATTAAATGTGGTGTGGGATGGTGTGAGTGTGTGTGTGACTTAAACTTCATTGCATTCCAAATACAATTGTGAGCAATCAAAGCCGGAACGCCCTCTGCGGCCAGCATCATAGATTTGTTCAAAACTGCCATCACTTGTGCGGTCCAATAGATAGCTGGTGGCATAGCTAAGGGGAAAAAATAAATATTATTATTATTTTATTTATTTAATTTTTTTCTATAGAAATATAAACAAAAAAACAACTTACGATCCCAATTGACAGAAAATGCTGCTGCCTCCAATCTCCCGGGTACATTCCGTGTTGGCCTCACACATATAACGCTGCAAACACTTATTATCAGCATTGCGATAGGTGCGCACATAACCCTTCAACATGGAAATACTGGCCACGGCAGCATCGCTAACGGAATCACGTTTACCCATTGACCTGGCCGACAATGAACGGTGTGAGAACGACGTCTTCAAGGCATCCAACAAATTCATAACAATTTGTATAAACTAGACGAATGTGCAAAGAATGAGAAAGACAAGAAGAAGAAGAAAATGATGAACATTATTTCAAGTACATTCCATAAGTCGCACTTCACTACTTCTTCTATACTATTGCTATTACGAAGTAAGTAGACGAGCTAATTAACATATTGACAGTGGTGGGGCAATGAAAGAAAAGCAAGAAGAAACTAAATGCGTAAGATAATCAAATTTAAATTTCTAAAGTGTTTTCTTGGTAGTTGGTATATGTGTGGAAGTGTGTTGGTGTTGGTGTGTGTGCGTGTGCATGGTGTTCTGTGTATGGTGCGTTAGAAGGGCAATGTAATAGAAACGAATAATAATCATAAATAAATAAAAAATAAAGCAAGTGTGCGAATAGATGTGAAATTGTACAGTGTATAATTTAAAACAAAAACTGCTTATATAAACAGTAGTGTTGTTGTTTTTTGTCTCTGTGTATGATTTGTATTTATAGCCACACTGAAAGAAAAACTATAAATCAACTACCCAACTAGAACTAAAATTCGACATTTTTCATTAGATGGATGATATTTGTCATTCCCTATAAAACAACTCAAAAATTCGACGGTAGATAAAAACGGGTTTCTGCATCTGTGTAAAATTCAAAGTCGACTTAGTCATCTACATCTTTTTGTCCGTATGTCATTTGAAACTACAATTGAGCTCGAAAAAAATTGTATAATTAACTTTACATGTTGATATTGAAAAGGTTTCCATATTTGATTATCCCTTATAACTGTATCGACCAATTTTCAATATTGCTTAGACCTTTTTGCAATCCCAAAATATTTCAATGAAGGTCCATATTTTCACATCTCAGTAGATGATTGGTGTGCTGTAACTTGTTCTAGGTGATGTGGTGCCATCTATTGTAGCCTAGAAACAATTAATACAGAATTTTGTGTAGTGGCTGGGGTTCTTACTTATTTAGTTGCATTATTTACCTTTATCTCGAGGTTGGTTATTGGGGTTTCGAATGATTTTCATCTGCAGGAGGATCTAAAAATATTTGAAAGTCTGCTGGGAAATGTTAATGCAGTTTTCATCACATCTCCCATTGCCGAAGTGTATTTTCCTAATGCAGTGTCTGTAGTTTGGCATTCAAGTTTCCTGGAGGGAGAAAAACAGCACTGCAAAAAATATTCGACCAAGGTCCATATTTTAAAAGTTTTTTGTGCATTCTGATTCGATTAGTCCTTGTGTTCATTAATTATTTCCATTTTTATTCCAGCTCAGTAGATGATTGGTGTATGGTAGCTTGCTCTAGGTAATGGGACTGCCATCTATTGTTGCCTAGAACCAAACCTGGCCTACTACTAAATTGTGTGTATTGGTTGGAGTCCTTGGGGGTTTTGAATGAATTTCATCTGAACATGCTGGGAAATGTTAATGCCCATCACCTTATGGAGGGAATACAATTTCGAACTGATCGAACATAACTATGTTTTTACTTTTAAACTGTCCGTCAGTTGAAAACACGCTGAAGAGAGCTCTGAAATTTTGCACAGAAATTGATAGTATTGCTAGGATGTTTTGTATTGCAAATGGCCTACAACGGTCTACGAATTGCCTGTAACTTGTATTTTGTGTTCTCATTGTATAGAAATTTTTCGTACTAGAAAGTATTAATATTGAACCAAGTTTAAAGGTAGCTCCCATTTTTGGACAGGTTTTCCAACCGAATTTGTTGTAATACGGTATTTTGGGTTATCATTGAATAACACATATCCATACCAAAAATTATTAGTATGGACCGAATTTTCAGGGTAGCCCCCATATTCCGAATTCTAGGGATTTGGACACGTTTTTCCACCGAATAGCCTGTAGTTTGGTATTTTGGGTTCTTATTGTATAACACATAACCGTACCAAAAAATTTCAGGGTAGCCCCCACATAACGGGACCCCTCAGTATTCGGTATTTTGGGGATTTTGGATAGGTTATCCCACCAACTTGACTGGAATTTGTATACCCTACATAACTATGTTGTCAGGGTATTATAGCTTTGTGCAGCACCAAAAGTTTGTAACGCCGCGAAATATTGGTCCTAGACCTACCTTTAAGTTTACCGATCGCCATATATCGGCTAGCTGAGTCGATCTAGACATGTGTGTCCGTCCGTCCGTCTGTCCATTATAATTTGTAAACACGATACAGGCCACAGTTATGGACCAATCTTCACGAAAATTTTAGTTCCGTGGTAGTTGTGTAGGGTATCGTATGGTCGGCTCCGTCCGACTATACTGCTCCGCTCATTATAGCGCCATATAACTGTAGCCCCACTATTACAATTTCAATCACCTATTTCTCACGTATTTTTCGGTAGAAAAAAAAAAAACTCTGCAATTAATTTTAGATATTTTGATTGTCATTCTCATGTTCGAACGGGCCGAACTTAACATATTTTTTACTTGTTTCAATTATTATACTTTCCCCCCTAAATCATTATTTCTTTCAGTATAGCTTATAAAAATTGTTAAATTAAATTGAATACTAAAAAATTAAAAATAATATATATTCGTTTGTCTACATATTATTACATATATAGATATTTATAAATTTTAATAAATCGTTACCTCTCCAGCTTGTTTGGCCATTGAGTTGACTTGTTCTGGATCTTTTGTACCAAGTACAGTTGATAGCACTGCCGCCAAGATGCCCTGTTTGTTTTGTTTAACAATTTGTTTTTTTGTTTTGTTTATTTGCAAGCGTTTTTGCAGCCACCATTTGTTTTTTTGTTTTTGTTTTATAGAATAAATCCAACCATAACCACATTAACCAGTAGTATTGTTTGTTTGTTTAAAAATTGAATTTTCAGTTTTATATGAGTTTGTATGTTTGATTTTTTTGGATTTTTTGTTTTAAGAAAGCAAAAAAATACAAATATATATTATTGTCAATACAGCAACAACAATATCAACAACATGAAAATAAAATGAAAAAAAGAGAAATAAATAGAATTTATTCTTAATATTTGTTTGTTGGCTGTTTTTGTTTTTTTTCGTTTCGGTAAATTAATAATGTTGTATGTGTATTATTAAATTGCGTATACATATAAAGATATGTATGGATGGATGGATGTTTGTGTGTGAATGTATGTGAGAGGCTATCGAACATATGTGAACTTCCAAATGATTTTTTTACATGGTGTTTTGGGGATGTGTTTTTTTAGCGGCATTGGCCGCCATAAAAACAACATGTCTAGCGAAAATAATTGGGTAATTGGAAATATGTTTTGTTTTGCGTTTTTTTTTTCTAGACCCTGGGCAATGGAATATGTATGTTATATGTACTGTTTGTAAATTCCCATTTGCAATTACTCGAAATAACCATCATTGATTTTTATCATCATGTAAAAAATTATAGTTTAGTGGGTGTAAATCTATAATTGATATGTTTAAGATCGGATTGATAGGTTAATTTTTTTGCTAGAATTATGGAATTGAAGAGGCTTTAATTTTAAAAATAATCTTATTTCCAACTTATTAACTTTTGAGGATATCCATGGAATAACTTTCGGAGTCTAATCTATTCTGTACATGCATTTTTTAGAAACAAAATGCAGGTCATATTTTTTCCGGTTTAGATGAAATTTCGTACGTCTGATTTATACGATCCAAGAATGAAATTGATGAGAATCCCTTGAAATTTAGACATAGCACTCCTACCTATATTTCATTGTTATACCCTACACAACTATGTTGTCAGGGTATTATAGCTTTGTGCAGTTTGAACACCGCGAAATATTGGTCCTAGACCCACCTTTAAGTATAACGATCCGTCCGTCCGTCCATTATAATTTGTAAACATGATACAGGCCACAGTTATGGACCAATCTTCACGAAATTTTGCATGTAGGATGGGTTGTGGCCAATGAAGACCCCTATTGTTTTTGGAAAAGTTCGGTTAATATTTAGGGGATTAAATGGACCAAAAGCTTTATTTTTGTCGGTTTTTCTGGCCGCTCCAGAGGCCGCACCGTGAATTTTTGCATGGAAAAGGGGATCGGGCCAAAGGATAAGCATGCCTGTTTTGATAAAGATCAGTCAATATTTAGCGGATCAGATGGACCTTGACTTTTGTGTGAAAAATTACAACATTGAAGGGAATCTGGACAAGAATAGTAGTAATATTTGTTGACCTCTAGTGGGTAAAAAGGGTGCAAACATCGCGAAATATTGCCCAAGCTCAGAATGTGGTGCCACAGAAAGTTAGATGTTCATGGAAGTTGTGTAGGGTATCATATGGTCGGCCCCGTCCGACTATACTGTTTATATCTAAATTCGGTTGGAAAACGTGTCCAAAATCCCCAAAAATACCGAATATTGGGGTGTATCGTTATATGGGGGCTACCCTGAAACTTAGGTCAATATTAATAGTTTTTGGTACGGACATTGGCCATGCAATGATAACCCAAAATACAAAATTAGAGCCATTTCAGTTGGAAACCCTGTCTAAAACTCGCAAAATACCGAATATTGGGGGTTATATGGGGGCAACCATGAAACTTGGGTCAATATTAAAAAAAATTAGGAAGATTATGTGTTATTCAATGAGAACCCAAATACCTAATTACAGCCAATTCGGTTAGAAAACTTGTCAAAAATCTTAAAAATACCGAATATTGGGGAGTACCGCTAAATGGGGCTAAACAAAAACGTGGCCCGATATATCCCATTTGCAAATACCAAACATCCTAGTCTTTGCAACATTTCAGAGCTGCATCTTAAATATTGGGATCTCTATCGTGATTTCACTTGACGGACAGATAGACGGGCATGCGTAAGTCTACATAGAATTTTATTCTGATCAAGAATATATATACTTTGTAGGGAACTTTGTATGTTAGCCATGTAACATGATGAACGTATATTGAAAATTTTCTGGAAAGTATCTTCTTATTCCTCAGAAATCCGCTATACAAAATTATAGTCATATTGGAGTTAGTCCTTTCAAAACACCGAAAATTGGATCCTTTCTAATATGGAGGCTCTGTCAAAATATTGACCTACAATTAAATCGAAATTATTCAGAATGATATTATGACCATTCAGGAATACGAAATGCTAAATTACTACCACTTCGATGGAAAATTCGGATAAAACCTAAAAAATTCCGAAATGGTTTGGAACCTTTATAAAGGGAATATGGCCTAACATGGACATTTATTGAATATTTTCTGAAAAGAAACAATTCACCCTTCAAGAAGACAGATTTTCTAATTATAATCACTTCAAACAATCGTGTCAAAACATAGACCTATATTAGCAATTTTCTGTATACTTGTATGCCAGCCTGGGAAAATGTTGTGAAAACCTTTAAAATATAGTTTCCATATTTTGAAGGCATGGTTCAATGGCAAAATTGTTCTGTAAAATGTCTTTTGACCTGCAATCACCCGTAATGCCATATTACAGTCACTTCGGTGAAATGAATTATCGTACGATAACTATATTAAAAGTGTATATAGTATTCAATACATTGTTAATTGTTGTGGAATTTTAAATTATGAATATTCCAGTCATCCAATATTCTCATTTTGTCTAGAAAACCATTTGAAAGACACATAAGGAAGTTAGTTGTGACCATGAAATGATATATATGTATGTATTTGTATTATATACAATAACAGTAAAGGAAAGTGCAGACTACTCAAGAGATAAAAGAAGCCAGTTTTCTTATTGAAAAAAAACACACATAAAATAAAAACAAAAATATTACCTGCATTGGGGAGCCGCCATTGTCAACTTTGTCAATGCCATCGCTGGGAGCACCACCGCCCAACAAAGTGTTGATGATTTTCAAACCTTTAGAAATAAAAATAGCATTTCTTATTAAAACAAATCACCATGATCATAACTTCAATTTAACCAACCCATTGAAATAACATTAGCCCATGGCGAACCACCAAAACCGCCATCAACATCATCCGATTTTGTGGGTGCATTAGCACCACCATTAAAGAACATTGTCAAGACGGTGGACAACATATTCGACCATGAGAAACCATTGGGGGCTTCCTGTATTTGATTGCCTTCGATTTCATCTTCCACAGCGTCTAAGGCAACTTTCTTGGAGGCATTTGGTTTGACGGCATATTTGCGAGCTGTTTCCACGGCTGGATTATAGACAGGCGATTGCTGTTGTTGTTGCTGAGTTCGGCTTGTAATCAAACGTCTTTGGTAAACTTCATTCTGGGGATAGGCATAGGTTAGTAGCAAGCAATTTGTGGCCACAATTGCCAATAATATGAATGCATTCAGTCTGTTGTGTTGAGCCATGGCTGGAAGAGGAAAAAAGAGAAAAAAGGGTTTGTTAGTTAAGTCTTTTGTTTTTGTTTATTTTTTTCGTAGAAAAGAAATTTGTGATTTGTTTTTTTCTGGAATTTTCTTTTCGAAATAATAATCATAAATTGATCACTGATTTATTGCAGGCATTCTTTTCCACAGCCTTTCAAATTCTTTACGTGTGTCCATGGCAAACATGTTCATTATCATGACTTTATTTCCCATTTTCTTTAACAGGCCAGATAATAAATGGTAAACGTTCTGTAGAACGCAAACCAAACGCTATTCTAAATAATAAACATGGTCATGAATTGTAGACAGGGTGTCCCAAAATTGAAGATACCTTTATAGAAGACCGGTGGAAGTTCTAATTTTAGAAGTCTTATGTGTACAGAAGATGATTTTATTTGTATATAAAACCAGTAAAATCCCTTCGGTATAAAAAAGAACGGTTAAAGGTCCTGACAAAAGACCGCGTTTAGAAGGTATTCTTCTATAGATGACCTACTTTATAAGTTATTCCAACATCAGAAAATTCCTGTATGAGATCTAGTAGGCCTGTAAAATATTTTCAAAGACTTTATCTACCTATTGATGCTCTGGAAGATGTTCTAGTTATAAAACAACCATGCCTTTTTATCAGCACTTGAAAATTATCTCCTAGCTCTACAGGTCCTATGGAAGGTTTCCTAGCTATAGAAACAATAGAAGATGTGTAAAAGTTTTCTTGCTTCGGAAGACCACTTGAAGGTCTTCTAGCTGCAGAAGAACTGTAGAAGGCATTTTATATATAGAAGGCTTTTAGGAGGTCTTCTAGCTATAGGAGGCCTGTTGAAGGTCTTCTGGTTATAAATTACCTGTGGAACATTTCATAACTATGAACGACCTGCAGATGATCTTCTAGCTATAGCATGCCTGTAGGAGGTTTTCTAGCTGTAGAAGGTTTGTAGGAGATATTCTAGGTATAGAAGACCTGTGGAAGATCGTCTGGTTATAGATGACCTGTAGAACGTCTTATAGCTATGGATACCTTGAATAATGTCTTCTAGCTACCGAAGATCTGTCAGATATAGAAGACCATTATGGAGTTTTATAGTCTTCCAGGTCTTCTAGCTATAGGACGCCTGTGGAAGGTCTTCTTGTTATAGATGGCCTGTAGAGAGCCTATGGATGACCTGAAAAAATTATTCTAGCTACACGTGAACTGTAAAATGTTTTCTAGCTATAGAAGTCTTGTAGAACGTCTTATAGTTATAGAAGGCCTGTGGAAGTTTTTTTTTGGTTTTAGAAGTATTGTAGAACATCTTATAGCTATGGATGACCTTTAGAAGGTCCCCCAAAGGTCGTTCTAGTTATAAAAGACCTGAATAAAATCTTCTGGATATAAAAAATCAGAAAAATCTATTTTATATACAGATAAACTGTAAAAGGTTTTCTATGCATGGATGGCCTGTGGAAGGTCTTCTAGTTATGAAGGACCTTTAGAACGTCTTCCAGTTATAGTAAACCTCCAAAACGTCTACTAGCTAAATAAGTCCTGTAGGTCTTCTATAGCCATGGAAGACATGTGAAAGGCCTTCTATCTATAGAATATGTGTGGAAGGAATTCAACAAGTATTCTGGTAAAAAAATCCGTACAATGTCTTCTAGATATAGAAAATCAAAAAAAAATCTAGCTGTAGTTGGTCTTCTATCGATATAAGATCTGAGTAAAATCTTCTAGCCATAGAAGACATTTGAAAAGTCTTCTGTCAACAGAAGGCTTGTAAAAAGTCTACTCACTATGGAACATCAGCCAAAGAAGATCTCACAGTATATCTATAAAATATCACATTTATCTGATCTTTTACATGTTAAAATTTTTCTATTGTTTTCTGTTCACCCTGTCAACAACAACAAACTCGTTTACACAATACCGTTGAATTAAGAATTGTTGTAGCATTTCTTGCTGTTGTTGTTATTTCATTTGTATTTCTCATTTCTTCGTAGTCGTTTTTATTCTTGATGTTCATGTTTGGTGGCCGCTAAATGCAAGCCACAAATTTGTGGAACACTTATGAGTGTTACTTCGGCTGGCATGTATTCGTTTATACGCTCTATTATGGTCACATAGAAAAAAAGAAACAACAAAACCACTGCCAAGCATAAGAAATGGTTAACTGTTTTTAGCGGAAATTGCACAGCGCACACACCAAAGAAGAAAATTATTTTTTTGTTAACAGCTAACCATATTTTTTTCAGATTGAGGTGGAAGCAATAACAAAAACAGCCAGTTAGGTAGCTAACAAATAGAATCATCAATGTGCTAGACCTAGTCTCCCAAACATTTTTCTTCCACACACTTGCTATGTTGTGTTACTTTTTGCTTGGTTCTAAACCTGTCAAACATGTTCGAATGTTGATTGGTTGGCAGGCATGTTGCAGCCATAATTCTTCTGGTTTCTTGAGCACCACAAATGTGTGACACAATTTACATTTTACGAGTTACCCAGCCACTTGTCAATGTTGTTTGGTATGAAAAGAGGCAAGATATTTTAATTATGGTGGCTATGTAAATTTAGAAAGCCGTTTCTGGAAGGTGTTTTTCTTCTTTGTTTTCGGGGTTTCTTTGATGAAGAGGAATGTTTATTTGTGTTGAGTTATTAATTGTAAGCACCTGCTAGATATTTTATTTATTTTCTTTTTTATTTCTTTTGAATGTAATTTATAAGAAAATTGTGTAGAAAATCTAGAATATTGGGATAAAAATGACAATACGAATTATTCTATGACTACGAGATAGAAAGCAGAGTTCTACTAATATATACAAAATTGGAGGAGAGAAGGGCATATGGATACAGAAATAAATTTAGACAGACCAGCATTGTAGGTCTGTCTAAATTTATTTTACAGCCAATTTTGTTCGGCAACATGCCAAAATGTTCCCAAATTACAAATATTTAGGAGATGCATTTCTATTAAGGATAATCTAAAAACTGGAGATTGATAGAGAAATTTTCCGCGCCATGAGAACCCAAAATAGTCAATTTCGTTTAAAAACTAACCAAAACTACCCCTCATATGAGGCTACCCTAAACATTAGACCAATTATGATAATTCTTGGTCAGAAGATTTAAAGACATTTCGGTTGAAAATGTTCCAAATTTCCCGAGTTTTAGGGGGAGAAAAATTATGGTAGCAAAAACTTTGAACCAATAAGCCTTCAAACATCCAATGACATATTCGACAGACCTTGTATTTTCGATGTAGAATATGCCCGTCAAAATCACGGAAAAAACGGTAAACACAATAACCATTAATTTCTGTTAGGGTCCTCATAGACAAAAAAATGTAATTATTCTATATATCAAAGAACAATTATAATCATACCCTACACCACACTGTGCTACAGGGTATTATGTCTATGTGCATATGTTTGTAACAGGCAAAAATAATCGAGATAGACCCATGGTTCCTTTTGAGAATATGCATAGAATCACTCTCTGAGTCGATTTATGCATATCCGTCCGTCCGTCCGTCTGTCCATGTTCAATTGTAAACAAGGTACAGGTCGCATTTATGATCCGAATTGGATGAAATTTGGCACAGGTCACTTATCTGGCCTAAGGACGAACCCCATTGAAATTGGGAAAAATCGGTTCAGATTTACATATAGCTCCCATATATATTTTCGTCCGATTTAAGGTAAATGGTGTACCAAAGTCCCTATATATCTTTCGATTTGCACGAAATTTGGCACAGCGTAATGTATAAGGTCTAGAATGGTGTGTGCAAAGTTTCGTGGAAATCGGATCAGATTTAGATAGAGCTCCAATATATATTTTCGTCCGATTTAAGGTAAATGGGGTACCAAAGTCCCTATATATCTTTCGATTTGCACGAAATTTGATATACCGCACTGAATTAAGTCTACAATGATGTGTGCTAAGTTTCATGAAAATCGGTTCAGATTTATATATAGCTCCCATACATAGTTACGGCCGATTTTAGGTAAATGGTGTACCAAAGTCCCTATATATCTATCGATTTGCACGAAATTTGGCAGAGCGTACTGAATTAAATCTAGAATGATGTTTGCAGAGTTTCGTGAAAATCGGTTTAGATTTAGATATAGCTCCTATATATATTTTGCACCGATTTTAAGTTAAATGGTGTACCATTAATGTCTCTATATATCTTTTGATTTGCACGAAATTTGGCATAGCGCACTGAATTAAGTCTAGAATGGTGTGTGCAAAGTTTCGTGAAAATCGGTTCAGATTTAGATATAGCTCCCATATATATCTTCCTCCGATTTAAGGTAAATGGTGTACCAAAGTCTCTATATATCTTTCGATTTGCACGAAATTTGGCACAGCGTACTGAATTAAATCTAGAATGATGTCTGCAAAGTTTCGTGATAATCGGATCAGATTTAGATATAGCTCCTATATATATATATATTAATATGTATATATTAAGTTTAGAATGATGTGTGCAAAGTTTCGTGAAAATCGGTTTAGATTTAGATATAACTCCCATATAGTTTAGCCCGATTTTAGGTAAATAGTCCACAAATGTCCCTGGAAATATCTTTCGATTTGCACGAATTTTTCCATAGGGTACTGAATTAAATCTAGAATGATGTGTGCTAAGTTTCTGAATTGGATACATATGTAGAATATACCCAAAGTGGTGAAGGGTATCATATAGTCGGCCCAGTCCGACTTTACTACTTTCGTTACTGGTTTTTGTAAAAATTATAGATTATATTTGCTGATCAGGTTCTCTAAAATTTTAAATCGAATATTCAGGCAATGCCGATTTTTGTCGATCAAAATTTTAGATCACTGACCATACAAAATTATGTTACAATAGCTCCATAAATGTGGTGTGTACTTTCACATACTGGTTTTTGTACAAATTCATAGATTATATTTGCCGTGTCAAATAGTTCTTAAAAAATTTCATAAGTCAAGGCCATTTCTAAGTCTTGATTTACGCGAGTTTACTTTTTTGTCGTTCTCTTTTGAACTTGCTTCATGCGTCCATACAAAATTATTTTCACAATATTTTTCATAAATGTTGTTTTTCACATTTAAATCTATATAAAATGTCAACAAATACGAAATACACAAAATATGTGTCTAAATAGTTTTCAGAACGTAACTATTTCTTCAGTCATTCCCCTTGCCCCTCTCTCCTACATATACAAAGAC